CCGGAAGAACACCACAGTGTAGCACAGGGGTGAATGCTTCGGCCTGTTCTGTTCCCTCTGTTGGCACAGGGTTTAGTGCAACACTCGCTTCATCGTGATGGGTCGTGAAGTCACTCTGTTCCTGAATTTACCTCCGTCCAAAGTGGATGGGTGTAATAAGTTCTATCTCCCAGGAATATGTCAGGACATAACCATCCTGCTATAAAGTTTGGAAAAAACACAAAACATTCTTTCAAACTAACTCAGTTGCCAAGCTTTCTTAACTGTTCGCGGATTGATCTAATACAAGCTGACAACAGACAGGCTGGGATGGGTGCGTGTTTGTTCATCACAAGCGAGAGCTAGCAGAGCTAATAACCCCAGTTGCTAAATCTATTACTCTGGAGTTTTGTTTTGTTTTGTTTTGATGAGAAAAGTTCATTGAAGAATTACTTTTGCAACATGATCTCTGTGACTTAACATGAAAATCAAAAGGCTTCAATCATCTTGTCACTTAAGATCAGCAGTGACAGATGATAAAGGCTTTGAGATGAAAGGTTTTGCCTTTGAACCCCATCCCTGGACTGGTATGCTTATCATAAGTAGGGAGCTTTTATAGTTACGCTGCGTGTGCCCCAACAGCTCACTCAATTCTCTCTCCAAAAGATACTAACAGCATTCTAATGAGAATAACAAAAAAAGGAGTCCTCTTTATTTGGGTGTTTTACTATTAATCCATCTCAGTACATGTGTTTGAATGACATGGAGGAACCCAAGAACAGGTTGAGCAGATAGCTCATTGAGCTGCAGAGCCTCTATGGAGAATTCCTCATCGAAACAAAGAACAAACTCATAATTCTGTAGACACTTGAGAAAAGCTGCCATGCATAGTTTGGGGCATCTTTCAGGCACCCGGCATGATTGTAGTGATTATAATTAATATCTTAAGGATGTCTCTCTGCCAGGTCTTGCGTCCTTTGCATCCACTCTTCCCACAGCCCTGCCCAGTGGTGATTCGGTGTGGCCAGAGATAGGGTTAGGCTTTCAGATTTTCCAGCTCTATTCACAGCATACAGTATACTGTCATAAACCACTTGGGTCTGCCTATTACAAAGGAGGAAGCAGACCAGGCAAGTTCACGGTGGAGTGAACTGCCTGCCACACCATGTAACCACTGTCTGTAGTGGAAGTGTCCAGGTGGAAGCTGCCCAGCATCTGTCCCGCAGAGTCCTTAGGTGGATGGTCAGCCTTGGGTTTTACTTCCTGCTTTAAAACACTCACACTTTGGCATGCTAAGGGATTTACATGCTAATTTGGCAAATTATAAAACTCTTAATCCTGACTTTAGACTATTTTTTATTTATATGAACTACAAGCTAGGTAATAGAGGCTGTTCTGTTTAGAAAATAGTATCAATTTCTGGTGACATTTTTTCTTCTACATGAAGCTTTAACTTGTGCTCTCATAATGTAGAATGCAGACCTGTCCCTGGACTACAGGACCAATTACACAGAGACACAGGGACGGGTGAGTCTGCGCGCCGCAGGCCAGGAGCTCGGACGCTGTAACCGAGGAAGGGAGGCCTTGTCTCTGCTTCTGTCTCTGGGAAAGGGACAGCATGCCTCTGCTCAGATGGCTGCTGTGGGGGCCGCGTGAGATGACGCGTGGTAAGTGGCTGGCATGTGGAAGACATCTAAGAAGTGACAGCTGCGGCCACTTGGGGCGAAGTTTCCTCCTGTGATGAGTGGGCCAATCTTGCAGGGCTCTGAGCACTTTCAACCTGAGGTTCTGCGAAGTGGGGACCAGGTCCTCCTGAGCACTGCTGCACAGAACGTTTACTGATGGGGTAGAAATTAAGGCCCTAGCTATCGTTCGGGAAAATCGAGTATCAAAAAAAATTTTTAATGCATATGTTACACTCATCAACTCTGGAAGAAATGAGCAGATAGCAGGGGTTGCTGAGAACAGACAAGATGAACCTGTGAAACCATTTTTTATAACACAAGAAACTGGTTCTGTCTGTATGTTTAAAAGAGTAGCTTCTCTAGTACATTGAAAATATTTCAAGAGTCTAATAATTAATCATTAATTAATGATAGGGGAGGTAGAACAGTGAATTATTACAAATCCAGGGGGAGATCTTTAAAACTGTTTCACTAATTTCTCTAACCATTTCCCCTCATCCACTGAACTCTCTCTTTGAAAAGCTTCATCTTAGGTATACTGCTTGGTCCTGGACATATAATTGTAAATTTATTTTACTTGTTTTTAAAACACCGTTAGCAAATTAGAACAGTCTCAAAGCTTATGAAGTAGTAAAAATCATGTTTGGTATTATGGATTTTTTTGAGGTTGTATTATGGGTTGAATGAAAACATGGGAAGATGCAAGTTGTCTGTTTCAAAATACTAAAAAGTAACTGGTGATTTTCTCAAGGCTTATTCACTTTGAAGTTGAGACCAGATACAAAAAATATTAGTTTTCTTGAAAAGGTATACATGTTTTCATATTCATGGCCAAGAATATAGAAACAGGAATTATAATTGCTGTAGTGAAACTGGGTTTATGATTTATAAATTCATAAATTATGAGCTTGTAAAATGTAAGTCCCAGGCATTGTTGGATTTGCAAGCTGTTCCCCCTCCGTTTCTGTGGTTCTTAACCCAGATACAGGCCTGCAGTGTCAGAGGGCGGCCGCCCTGGCAAGCCACCAAGAAAAGGGCTCTCCCCAGCAAGTCATTGTTCTGCCTACTCTTCCCTCGGAGTGCATCGGATTCGGGTGCTGGCACCTCTCTTGCTTGTCGCCATGCCCTGCTAAGCTCGGTGTGCAGTGGTCCATGGTTATTAAATCTTTACCACCGGAGGAGTTGCTTATGAGCGTAGTTATTTTCTGGGATTAGAGAGGCCTTCTGAATTCAACAAGTGACTCACAAATGGTCTTATTATTTCCTAATAATTAAAGTGTGATTAACACCAGCAATTAGTTCCCATGATTTCTGAAAAGCAGGAATTCAGAAGGTAATAATAGGTGAGCAAGGTTAGGAGCCACAGGATATCACTTGAATGTGAGTTCCTAAGACACAGATATACTCCAGAAGAGTTAACCCACGGAAGACAAACTCCTTTTAATCCCATGAAACCAAACGAGCCCTGTTTTACATAAACAGGCCACCGTCACAGAGACTGTGTGTGGCTGCGTGCCCTGAAATGGGAGGCAAGACCTTTCTTGTCCAGTAAACTGAGATCAGCGCACCAGCACAGCCTGGGAAGATTTTCCATCCTTCTGCGCAAAATTTCAGCCCTTTTTCAACATCTGAGGAACAAAAAAAGTGACCGTGTTTTTGTCTCCTGGGACAGCTCTTTTTATATTTTTCTCAGAATTACCTGGTGGGAATCCAGCCAAAATTGAATGCTAATAGGTAACATTTAAACTTCTTCCTAGAGCTCAGTTGGCTTATTCCACATTTTCCACATTTTACATTTTGAAATTTAACATTCGACCACAGATATTTTTCTTGGGGGGCCTGGGTAAAGTACGGTGTGAGTCGATTGGATAAGGTGTGATGTTGATGGTAAGGTGCCCTTTCGTGAGAGTTTTCTGGGGCAGCAGCCACTCAAAACCCAGTCGTCCGCCTGTATAATGTTGATTCTGCCAGAATTTCAAGTGTGATGCTCTTTGGTTCTACTGAGCCGGTGTTTAGGTGCTGGTCTGTCAAGAAAATGCGTGGTCAGGCCATTTACATGGGTTGGTTTGTAATAAGTTAGAGCTTTTCCCGCCAAGTTCAGAACTATTTGTAGAGTCTTAATTTGGAGACGGGGTCATTCAGAAAACTTCTTTCCCACGCTCCCAATGTGAGAGGGTCCAACAACCTCTCTTCCTGTGCGCGTACATGAATATGAAGGAAGAAGCCAGGTATTTATGACTTTAGCATTATTGTTTAGTGGTTGATTATTTAAAAGTCTATGAGGGCAAAGTTATTCTAGACAGTGACTTTCCTTAAAGCATAGCCCTTCTATTCTTCAGCAGGAAGGGACTCCCCTTCTACCCTCAAGTTCACCCCCTACTGCCAGCCAACTACAACCCATAGAGTGATACCAGGATTTCACTTTTTTATCCCAGCCTATTAAGGTAGAAATTTTCTCTCACTTCTTAGGCCTTACAGTGGGAATGAATTTATTTAAAATTAAAATGTAAACCTTACTTAATCCCAGCTGTTGCAAGTGAGCCCTCGTAACTAAATGTGAGTGAGCCCTGTTACTAAATGTGAGTAATTCCTCGTGTTTAGAAACAACACCAACATAGCCGTGAGTCTCCAGTCCATGTCAGCAGGGCTGGAGGCATCTCCCTTCTCCTCATCCCCAGCTGAGGGGAGGAGGGCTCCCAAGCCAACCTGTTCTTTCTGGGGGGAAGGCGGAGCATGTGCATTTCCAGCCCTGGTGCCTTCTCTCCTGGAGTGGCAGCCAGGGCCCACGCCTTGCCTTTGGAGGAGAAAGAAGGTGTTCCCATCACTCCAGGTTCCAGGTCGGCATTTGGCTCCTGGTACAAGAAGGATTAACATATACACGCGGCATCTCAGTTTCCACATCATTACCCAAAGACCCGTGTGATCCATAACTGAGCTGACATGGGTATCTAATACCATCACAAAGCACAAGGACTTCAGTGTCCCCCTTCTTCACGGGATGCTCTGGGAACTTAATCGCTATTCGTAGCATTGCTGCTAAGGTGCTGTTGGCCCAGAATTCCATTCAGATGACTTTCCAGCTGACTTCTGAAGGTAGCTCAGTCTCTTCAACCTTCCACCCCGTATAGTGTTCAACCAAAGTGTCTGCCTTGTTCTATGCTTTGCAGTTCAGCTCTACAGGGGGCAGGGAGGCGGGGGGACAGGATTGACAGAAACCGGGTACTGAGCCTGGTCTCTAACTGCCGAGTGCTAATGGCTCCAGCTGGAGTCCTCTGGGTGCCCTGAGAAGTAAACAGCTGGTGCCTAACCAATTTTATCTCTTTTCCCACACCTTAGGATGATTCCAGCCCCGCTACTGCAGATGGGATTGACACCTCCACCACGACCACCAGTGCCTTCACCATCCAGGAGTACTTTGCCAAGCGGATGGCAGAGCTGAAGAACAAGCCACAGGCCATGGCTTCAGGGCCTGACCCTCCAGAGACCCAGATGGAAAGGAAAGGGGGGAGGAAAAGAAAGAAAGAAGCAAGAGATACAAACGTGGAGACTTACACGCAACCCAAGATCAAGAAAAAGCGAGACCAAGTTGAACAGCAGCTCGAGGACCCTCAGTGGGCCGAGAACTCTGACGTTTCTGCTGAGGGTGGGGAGAATTGTGTGCGCCCGCTGGATGGCCAGGACTTACCACCAAAGCCCAAAAAGAGAGAAAAGAAAAACCTACAAAAGCGAGTTGAGGCAGCAGTGGATGCTACACTAGATGAAACACCAGTGAAAAAGAAGAAGAAAAAGAAGAAAGGTTCCAAATAAAGCCTCTCGAGCCAGGGCCTCCCAGCCACTCAGGTGTCGGCGCTGCCAGGCACACACTTGGCCCGCAGTCAGAGCAGAGTTCACCCGCAGAGCCTGTGCACACCTTCAACATGCCCTCGGACTGCTGGGTCTCGCCCTCGCACCGCGCGTTCCCAAACCGTATTCCCAGAAGAGCTTCTCTATGTTCCAAATCATGGCTCTCACAAACAGATTTCTTTGTAGATTCCCACTCCCTCGCCACGAGTGTTCATTCATATCCGTGTGCACACGCCAAGTGACGTGTGCGTGCGCTGGTGTGTGTGGGTATATCACAGTCTACATTTGCGTTTGGTTTCCTTCCATAACAGTGAAGTACACTTCCTTCTGAAGAACTTAGTCTAATTAAAGGATTAAGGGTAATAGTTTAGATTCAGATAGTTCTTTTTGTTCTATAGCCAACCATACATTTTTGCCAAGTAGGTATTATATGATTACGTTTCCAAATCAGAGAGTTGGTTTGGTTTGGTTTAGTTTGGTGTCGTTTTGATGGGGAAATTGTTTTGATGCCCTCTCTTCCACTAAGCAGTGGCAGCCACATGATCTGAGGCCTTCTCCCCAAGACTGCGACGTGTACGTGAACTGACTCCGGACAGTCGAACCTTCCAGCTCTCAGGGAGAGTGGGCTGTCAGTTTGGTGGTGCTGGAGCACAGATCCGCTGTAGTGGGCTCTGCCTTTTTTATAACAATCACAAGGTCCTCGGAAGGTTAGGAAAATTGGGAGTCTAGGGTCAGGAAATTAATTGTATTTGGAAATGAGTCACTCTCTAGATTGGAACTCATGAAAGTTCTTTAAAATGTTAACAGTACATAAACGTAAAAGATGCGGTTCAGCCCTGCTCTAACCAAAGGCTGTCTCCTCACTGGGTTCATGCTGCGTTCGGCCACACCCTGGCGTCTCCCTGTGTGCTGTTTGCCCGGATCCCCTCACACCCTCTTTGGGACACAGAACGAGAAAGAAAATGTGTGCTTACAACTTAGAGGTCCAGCCCTATTGTTCTCTCTGCCCGTTTCTCCTCTCTTCCTTTCTTTGTTCTCTTTATCTCTTCCTTCTTTTCTTCTCCATCTTTTTGTCCATTTATTCCCTCATCCTTGCCCCCCACCCTTATTTTTCAATTCCAGTGGTCTTCTAACCCCTCTCTAGCTGCCCGCTCCCCATCCTGCCCTGCAGTCTTGAAGGCTGGCCTGCCTCTGCGGGACGTGCCGCAGTAGCTGCGGGGGCGTGGCAGGCGGGTGCTCTTTTCCACTGGTTTATAGATCGCACTGGATAACACACACACAATCTGATGACCTTTTGCCCTGGTTTTAACTGGGCGGGGTGGGGAGAATCAGACAATAGATATGAAGCGTGGCCCCAAAGCCTCTTAGAATTGAGAAATATATTAAGAATGTTTGATTTTAGTCTCTTAAGAGTTCTAAAGGTGTGAATTGTTTTAAAAATCACACATACAACCCATAGAGAAAATTCTTACAAATTCAGAGCCAGAGGCCTAGTACCTGAGTTTTATCAAGGCCCCCAGAATTTGGAATCTGAGGCTAAGGTCCAGTCTAATAGAGCACCAAAGATTTTAAAAGTCACATGCCCGAGTCACTTCTGCTTGTTCTGTCTTGTATATGAAGTGAGTTCCAGAAGGCAGTGGGATTGTGTGAAACCTCTCCCTCTCTCCCCACCCTCTCTCCCTCCATGTGTATGTGTGTGTGTGTATGTGTGTGTGTGTGTGTTGTAGATATATATAGGGGTTTGTTTGGGCTTTTTTTGCCTTTTATTAACTTCAACTTTTTTTTTTTTACCAAAGTGAGAGCCAGGAGAATATACCGAGTTGTGTGCAGGAGAAGGAAGCAAGTGAGTGTTTAGGAAGCAGGCAAGAGGTATAGGTCAGGTGAGGCAAGGGGCCAGCTAGGAGGACCAGTGTAGGGAGGTGCTGGAGGGAAGTTCTTGAAGTTGGGGATTCCAAGGCACCAGGGAAGCACTGCAAGATTATTTAGGTGCAGCTAAATAGAACCTGTAGTCTGTGATTTTTATTATTTTAATGGGCCGCAGAAAGAATTCCTGATATTAGGAAGATGAGGGTAGCTTGAGAAAAAAGTACGTGCCCAGCAAAGAGCAGACAGTGTGACCATTTGCTTTGAAGGACATGGCAGCTTAATCTTCACTAGAAATCTGCTGCTTTTGTTTTCCCAGGTGTCTCTTCTGTAGGCCACTGAGTTTTTTGGATTTAAGTGGGAGTTAGAACAACAAAATAAATATACTTCCAAGTTTCATTTCTTAGACATATTTCTTTTTTCTTTTTTTACTCTCACCTGAGGACATTTTTTCACTGCTTTTTTAGAAAGAGGGGAAGGGTTTACAGAGAGAGAAACATTAATTGGTTGACTCTCAAAGACTCCTTGACTGGGGGATCGAACCCACAACCTAGGTACATGCCCTGATACTCCAACCACATGAGCCACACCAACCAGGGGGACATGATATTTCTTAAATCATTAACATATGAACCGTATTTTTTGCCTTTTAATTTTTTCACTTGGTAAAAACTATGAGGTCTGTTCAGAAGATATCTAGCCATGTAATATGAAAAATAGAGACATTTATTGAAGAGCATACAAGATAGAAGAAACATTGTACATAAGACAATGATGCCTCAGTCCCCTTCAAAGTAGGCACCTTGGGACCTCACACAATTCTCCCATCACCATCAGCTGCCCTATTGTATTTTCCTGAATTTCATTGACGGTCTAAAATCTCTTCCCTTTTCAAAGGTGATTTTAGTTTTGGGAAAAGGCAGAAGTCACAGGGTGCCAAATCTGGGCTGTAGGAGGGGACTGAGTCACTTGGGTGATTTGATGTTTTGCCAAAAAAACTGCATGAGACGTGATGCATGAGCAGGCATGTTGTCGTGGAGAAGTTGCCAATCACCAGTTGCCCATAGCTGTGGTCTTCTAAATCATCCAAATAATTACCACAGAGGAATGTTCAAGCTTAATGCAAAATTTGATACAGATTCACTGCTCTACTTGCTCAGTCATTTTGAATGCAGTGGCCACACAGTATACATGCTCAGTCATTGGGGGCGTTAGACACTTTTGAGGCCCCTGCTGACTAGTACAGTGAGGTCATCATTGTTCACACATGTGCATTCCAGTCCCCTCTCCTTGGCAGCCAGGTTACATGGATGTTGTGCAAACCATTCTTGTTCTATTAACAATGGCTGGACTTTTTCTGGACAGACCTCTCATATATTTATATTCTTCAATGCTTTCCTTGGCATCCTTCAGTTTTAAGAGGGAAAGTAGGTACCCAAGAAAAGCTGTATCCAATTAAGAGGTTCTTAAATGTTATAGCACCCTTCTTTCCTTTCCGTTAATAGATAATAACTATTACTGCATGAGGTCCTGTGTGCCTGGCCCTGTTCCAACACTTTCAGTAAATCAGCTCGTACAGTTCTCAGCCCAGTCTATAAGCACTGTCGTTAGTTACCACCTTTAAACACGGAGGTAAACTCTGCTTCTATGAAAGGGCTGCTGTCAATTTTTTATAATGAGATTTCTGCTGTTCCCAGAGAACTAGTGAAAGCAGGTGGCAAACTGTAAAGAGTTTTACAGGGAACTGGAGTTAGTATTATTTACTGATATGTGAGCTGTAAAAAATGTGTTTAGGTAGCCTGCACATTTGAAATTGTCAGTGGAGTTTCTTTTCCAACTCGGTCAAGAGGTTGGTGGGAAATTGGCTAAGTAACTCAACTTCTTAAAAACCTGTTTGCCAGGCTTTGAAGGGAAAAAAAAAGAATTTCTTCTAATTTGTAAGAAATAGTGACACTTCTTCCAAAGGTGAAGCCAAAAGGAGCATTGGTTTTATACCGCAGTGCGTATCTCTGCTTCTCTCCTCCCTCAGCTGTTGGCTGACTTAGGAGCAAGCTGGGACTTGCTTTTTTCTTTTCTTTTTTCTTTTAAGAAACAGCATCAGAGCAATGTTTCAGCACTGTCTACCTGAGTGATCTCAGCCTGGACCAGCAAGCAGCGGCTGTATTTATAGATTTGAGTAAGAATTCCCCCACCTTCACCGTGTTTATCTCATGGGTTCTGCAGCCACTGCAGTTTGGAGCCTGTTGTACCGGCTGTGGGGCTGGGGAGGTCAGATCCATGCCGTGATGTGCGATTTTATAGCTCTCGGTTATTAGTGAGCAAATTAGTATCCTGTCCTAATAAAAAGGGTGACTAGACTCCTTGCCTAAAGTATACTATCTAGTTAGGAAATATTGAATACACTAAAAGGGCATGTGCAAAGTCTTTATGGGACCAGTAAGGGGGGGACAAAGGCAGAGAGACAGCAAGGAGAAAAGGTAGGTGGGGAGGGGACTTCGCTCGGGCACCACGGCGCTGTGTGTGGCTGCAGTGTGTGGGTGAACGCAGTCAGCTCCGCGACTCCTTTTTCTCCCCTGAGTTCAATCTTTGTGTAAGCATTAGCAGCGAACTTTCAAAGGAAGAATTTTGTAATCAGTTGCATCTTCCATTTCCGAGACTGGTTTCCTCTGAGAAAGGTCCATGGATGCAGAGAAGCTGTTGTTTGTTATAAAAACATTTGCTGAGCACCAACCTTGGACTAAGCACAGGCAAACTCAGGACTGGGTAACTAATCCATTACAAGGTCCACCCACGTTCAAGATCTACAAACTTGTGTGATTTAGAGTAGGTTGCCATGTCCTAGAACAGTGTCAATGCGACGTACTCAGGAGCTTGCCTCCTCTGCACCGGTTAGATGGCGCTTCACGACCTTTAGCCTTCATGCGAATGTTGATCAAGTGGGGCAGTGATCTGCAAGCAATTCTTTCCTGACGCATGAACTTCAACCTGAGGAGTGACTGTCTACTGAAATCTCCCTTATTAACACTTCTAACTGTGATAAATAAGCAAAGTTATATGCACATTTTCCCACATAGAATGAATTAAAAATATCTTTTACCTAAGTAGAGAGCGAAGAATAAACACCAGCCTCTCTCTTTTAACCTCACCCCACCCCCACCCAGTCCCCCGTCACTAGCATATCTGCTGAGGGGACCGGGTGCAGAAGGACTAGGGGAGGTAGCCTTGCAGTAGGCCTACTTCCCCTAGCAACCAGGGACACCATTCAGCCCGGAATGGAGCAAAAACAGATACTGACAAACATTTGCTTGAGGAATGGGAAACTGCTGGAGGCAGCTGCAGCTCCAGCCTTCAGGACTGGGGAGACGAGGCTGTCGGAGTCCAGGGGTGGGTGCCCTGGAGCCTCAAGTGACGGAGCATCCTCATTTTCTCCCTCACCCTCACAAGTCATGTGGCTTCCTCCAGGTGGGGGCTTTATTCCAGACTGTGCTAGTCTTCCTTCAACGAGCCTAGACGCCCTAAAACTTTCCTAAATACTCCTCCGCTCTCCTGCTGTCACCTGCGTGTTCTCTCAGAAGGACACTTAGTCTGAATGTTTTAGTCTGTCCTTACTCTGTTCTCTCCCTCTCCCCCTCTCCCTCTCCCCCTCTCCCCCTCTCCTCTCCCTCTCCTCTCCATACGTACACTCATGGCCAATGTTTCTGCTTTCTGGAAAATTCTCAGGTCTGTATCTCTAATCCCCCACTGGTCGGTCTCAAGCGTACATCCTGCATGTCCAGCCAACCGTCCCGAGGGCCCCTCACATTCAAAGGGTCTCACAGGAACTCTTGTTCATCCTTCAAGGCCACCTCAGGGCCCCATTATTGCTGTGGGCACCCTGTGCTTTCACTCTGGTTTAACGTGGTCGTTTATAGCAGTTCACCCTCATTAAGTTACTGCCACCCGTGTCCCAGGTTCAGTCCTCGCTCTTAGGAGCTCTCAGCGGAGGGCTCCTTCCCTCTTGATCCCTCTGTCTAAAGAGCCACGCCCCTCTTCCATCCGTCTAATTCATTACATAATTCTTCCTGGACCATTGCACCCAATGCCTTGAGGGGATCCCCGCCCCCTCCCCTGGGCACTCTCTGGCTCTAGAGCATGACTGTGCCTCTTCTGTGTCACTGCCCCCACCCTCCTACTGGCCGCCTCTACCTACTGGCCCTAAAGGCCGGCCCCTGATGTCAACAATTTCTCCAGCCTTTCCTCCCCCACCCCTCAGAAGCAATCTCTCCCTTTTCTGAATCTTCCTAGTGCTTTCTGACTCATCAAAGTCTACCTGGTATTAGAGTTTATGGATGTCTGCTTTTCCCCTGTTCAAGTCTGGGGCCCCTGAAGATGAAGTTAATCTCTATAGTGCCGTGGCACCCAGGACAACACCTTGCACATAGCAGGGAGAGAAGGACTCTTACATGAGGAAGCAAATGAACACACCACAGCTGGGCAAGAGCCCGTGCTCTGAAGACCTGCACTGTGTTCAAGATGAGGATGTCTAACCAGGGGGCACTGCTGGGACCACAACCCCCACTCGGGGTTCCTTCAGGTTCTCAACACGATAACCAGTATACATGACACCTCCTCACCCGACTGGAGGGTTGGGTTATGAATTCCTTCCTACTCCCCTAGGCCCTGCCCTGTCTGTGACTGTCGCCTTGCCACCGGGATCTCAAGTGACCCCCTCCCAGGGCCCCATTTTCAAGTCTCCCTTGAGTGGTGGCTGTAGGATTACGTGAAAAAAAAAAAAAATACCCGACGAGGCCCTCAGTACATTTTCTTCTCTTCCTCCAAGCACAAGAGAAAGTGAAATGTCGGCACTCCCTGCAGTTGGGGACCCCAGTCGGAGGGAGGCTCTGCAGAGCCATCACCATGACTCCTGAATGACACTTGGCATGCTGTAGCCACTCTTCCCCTTGAGTGACAAGCTCCAGGATGAAACAGGAAGGTGTGGTCAGGTCATCCTGAAGACACCAGCGTCCCAGGAGGGCTTAGGGCTCCCCACGGAGGAGGTACACTGTGAGCAGGCCTGGGGCAGGGCGGGGTGTGCTCACACTGACTCAGAGCTCTCAAGTGATAGGCTGCAGGATCCTGCCCTCGCCTGGGACTCCTAGGCAGCCCTGGTCGAGCAAGTTGTTGCAAATTGGCCTGGAGGGATTACAAAATCCTGCCGAGATGGGGCAAGGCCCTGCCAAGCCGAGATGAACAAATGATGGCAGCTGCGCTGGGAGAGGGAGAACAAGTGTACTCGGGCCACGTGAGCCAGTGGGTCTTCCAAATCAGAGGAGCCTTCCAAACACTCGGCCCCAAGCCGAGCAGGCCTGCTCCCCTCCACCCTGCA